GCTTGCCCTGCTTACCTCAATACGTTGTTTTGTGATGTTTCCCGAATCTGTACGAGGCAAAGTTTGCATTACCTCTGTCAGAAATGGGAATATGACCTACACTGAGGAAATACAAAAAATTTCCCTTAAATGGAGGTATTTCTGCAGTCATTGTGAAAAACAGTGAGCTAATTGCTCCGAGCAACCACCACCAAAGCTACATTTACTGAGGAACCATCATGATCTATAACAAGGAATCTAAATGATAAAGTGTCTTCCGGCTCTGGCTTTTAATGTGACATCACCTCAGATTTCCACAACTTATTATGATATGTTAGACTTGGGTCGATATTTGATAATACTGGATATCACTATATTTCCCACCATATGCAATATTCTTTATAATAAAGATTTTTTTTTAACCAACCCTGCATTGCTTACACTACAAGGTACCTTGGCAAACTCAAAACTTAATAAAACTGCTGTTTAGTGGCAGCACTGCTTATACCCCAAACATAAAATACAACAATTATACAATGAAAATCATCTTCAACAAAAAAAAAAAAAATCCCAAGCCTATGATATGTATAAGGCAAGACATAAGAGCTAAAATCTGACTTTTAGAATCACAGGACTGTACAGAAAGTATTCTGCTCATAGGGCCTACCAAACCAAAACAGACCAACAACAAACCTTAATGACCTGTACCAAACAAATACATCTACTATTGTGCATTACTAAACAGGGTAGAGAGGAGCATCAGTTCAACTCAACATTATGTTTTCCTAACCTGCAAAACACTTCGTAAGTGTTCACTAAGTTCCTTAAACTTCATTCCAGTTTACTTCATGAAACTGAAGCAGATACAATGAAGTGATGCTGCTATATTCTGTCATGATTGCAGTTGAACTGGCCGACAGTACAGTATGTGTTTAGACACACCAGCAAAGATTCCAGCACCTGGCATAACGTCCTGCACACCGTGTACTCTGGTGAAGGGACATAAAATACGCTGAGAGGAACCATGTACCTCATTAATCATAATGAGGCTGTGGCAGATTCAAAGAGCCATGGAGTGGTCTAGTGTGAGACGACAGCCACTGGATCCTTAACGCCAAACCTAGACAGAGTTTAGGGCTTACACAAACAGCATTCAGCAGGCATCTTGTCACAGTGCTGCAGAAACACTGGTTTAAATGTAATTACTGCTTATTATCAAGACAGCCGCACAATGTTAACGTAAATTGCTTTTATTTCCAGAGAAGACATGCATACAGCAAGTGAAAGTTCTGGTTTGTAATTCAAAGCTTGCACCTTTTATTTCCACAAAGGAAGTTTTGTTAAACACCAAAGGAAATCAAGTAACAAACAAAAGAAGAAATAAAAGACAAGGCTGCAGCTGCTCCAGTGTTTATATTTGGGTGGAAGGGATGCTTCTTGCACTGCGAATGTGAATTTGTGCCGGGCTCCCCGGTGTGAATTTCCATTAAAAGTTTTCCAAAGCAGAATGCTACGTAAGAAAATGTCAGACACAAGTTCAGACTCATTAATATGCACCACCAGTCCTGAGAGATCTGTTGTGCTGTGCATTTGCCTTAGCTTATTTCCCTCCACCCCATAATGAATTAACTGTTGTCTAAATTAGGCCTTTAAATGAACTGTTCAAACTATTCAAAGCGCCACCGCAGCCTCATGGCATAAACACTCTTTAATACTGCAAACATCATGGGGGATCTTTAGGACTATTCCCAACATCCATGTGTCCGTTAATTAAAACAGGCACAGAAAAAATATTGTATATATTATGGTGCTTTCTTAAGTGCTGAGAAATACAACTGAGTCAATCTGTTGTGACATTGGTTCTCCAAAGCACCAGACTGCTTCTGCTGCATCAAAGCAGAAGAAAAGTGATTCATGTTTTCAAGACATGTAATAAGTTATATTTATCTAATGTCAATAATCTGAAAGTTTCTTCTGTATAGGACTGGGTGTGCAACATTCATACCTTGAGTACCAAACTACATGTCTGTAGCATTAAGAATGAAAAGGTTTCAGGTGTTGAAAGTTGGCAATTAATTAGTCCAAAAACAGTCAGACAATCAATCCACAACTATTTTGTTGGTTGATTAATGTTGAAATCATTTATCTAGAGTAACAGTGATTAGTCCATTGTCAATTGTTTCATCAGTAGACAGGGAAATTGTCAGCAACTCTTTTGATAATCAAGTTATCATTTCAGTAATTTTCAACTAAATAATATTCTCTGGCTCCAGCATCTCTTTTGTGAGAAAGGCAACTTTAATGTGATAGAAAACTCATTATACAACAGTTCGGTGTAACCAAGTAATTTGATTGGACGAGAGACATTCCATGAGTGCTGATGTAGTGTACAACAGCACGGGGAACTTTTAACTACATGTATCACTCAGCTTTATGGGTGTTCTGTTAACCATCAATTAGCATTACATTAACCGTTATCTATCTTGGATTATAACAAACTTTGTAAAGATGAAAATATTTCCAGAAATAACATTTAAATAAAATCATGTATGGTCATCAGAAGAGGATGAAGGGAGGGAAAGAAGCTTGGACACTTCAGCGCACACCTCCAGGTGCGCTCATATGACATCGCCAGGTCAGGAAAATGTTTGTGTGTCATTTAGCAACAATGAAGTAGCGAAACTATTTGTGTTGGCGGCCTCGTACCTACGACCGAATCACAGTCGTGCTGATATTCAATACAACATCACTCACTCTCGTGTGATATTGCTTAAGTATCTTTGGTTATGAACTGTTGGTCAGATAAAAACAGAAAGCTGAAGTTACCACTGTGGGATTTATTAACCTGTGCTGGGCATTTTTCACTTTTTTCTAACATTTTACAGACCAATTATTCGATGAAGTAATTAATTGATTAAAAGTCAGCTTAATTGTTAATGAAAAGAATTGTTAGTAGCAGCCCTACATCGATTTGCTTTTTTTTTTGGGATCTGTGAAACTGATGGACATTTTTCACTATTTTCTAGCATCTAGGAGACTAACAGAGTAATTAAATTAATGATGAAAATACTGTAACCATTACTAAGTTAGCAGCTGTACATTGAAAGCATGTACATTGATTCTTAGGTGTGTTTATTCTTCTATTTTTATTCTGCAATCAGAAACATCTTCAGCTAAATCAGGAAGCTTTTCTATGAGTTTATTTTTACTTTAGGAAGTGTATGCACTTTAATACTGATGTACATTAGAAATATTTTGTTGAATGGCAAAAAAGGGGTGAAAACATGTATATTGTGCACTTGTATATATTGCCCATAACTAAGGTATCCAAAAAGAATATTATATTAGCACCAATACAGAAAACTTTCAAGTAATACTATTCTATTCACGTCTCTCACAAGCATAACAAAATTGTGTTACAGACATTAACTCCTCTCAATCATTATGGTAATACTATAACCTAACTACAGCAAGGTCAAATATCCACGGTCGTCCGTGGTCAAGGAGTTTAAGATGCTGGACATGGAACCAGTTTAAGTCCAGCTGGACACTTTTTTTGCACGTCACCTCCCTTTTTCACTCCCTGCGTCTTTCTTGTCAGCCTTTGACTGTGTGCTGTCTTACAAAGGTTAAAAAAAAAAAAAAAAAATGGAGAAAGTCTAAATTTCCACAAATAAAAATTGTCAGCCATGCCACTGTTTAGGAGCAACAGAGTCCCCCCTGAAGTGATGCTGATAGTTACCTGGTCGGTGTTATCGTCAGGTTTTCTAAAGTCTGTATGTATGTTTGGCACACGGTTTATCTTTAATATAAAGTAGGCTTCAGCTTGAAAGTTGTCACATATTTTTTTTCCAGCCAGTCATCAAAAGTGATGCATCAAAGCGACACTACAAAGAAGAAAGCTACAATGAAACAGCAGCTGCTTCAAAGAATGATAAACACAACAGATCCAACAACCAGACCTACTTTTTTAACTTCTTTCCTGTTGATTGCCGACTTGGGTCAACATAACACTAAATAACTGCACAACCAGACTCAGAGCCGCAACACCAAATACTCACACAAACTCAGACACCCAAAGACACAAAGCTGACTAAACTGGGATGATTAAATGTGACACTGGAAACCACACAGAGCGCCCCCCCAAACACATACACACACCACATCCCCACCCCCAATGTGTATCAATGCTCACAATATGAGAGTGAGCCCCTCACAGCAGCAGCAGCTTGTCATGGGGGCTGCCGAGGAGATTCAGCACCATGGACAGCGGCCAGCAAACTTCCACAATGCAAACTGTAGCTTTTTAAGCCAGACTCCGTTATTTATGTCCAATTAATTTTTGACACTTGGAGAAAGTATAAAGTTGATTTAATAAGGCCTGAAACTAACTAAAGAGCTTTAAGTGTCGCGTTTTAGTTAAATACAGAACACACAAGGCGTGGGCAGCACAAGTAAAAGTACATAACAGACGGAGACAAGTGTAAAAGTTGTAACGAAGTGTGAACAGTTTAAGCTGCTTGTCTGTTAACTAGCAAGTAGTTTGCTACACACGTAGTTAACAGAGCCACGTGTGAAAGGGAGGAAGAATATACACAACAAAAACATGGCATGAAAATGACGCTACTCTGACAAATGTATTTTTATTGGCTGTAACTGAAAGGAGAATAGTAGAGTTTTGTTAGCATTAGGATGCTATGCGGCCTATTATTGCAATAACAAGTACAAAGTGTTGATTTAGCCCGCCAGTGTTATCAGTAGCAGTCGCTAAGCTAATTATGAGCTACTGACAGACAGGTTATGACATGTAGAAGCAGGTGACTGCGTTAGCTATTCATTCTGGTTGTTGTATAGACTGTAGTGCTTTTCAAAAAAGATGAAAACATGGTATGTAGCCAGGCCTAAGCTAATAGACAGATGCTCCGGTGTAATAATAATAAGTGAGGCGGCTGTAATCTGCTCAGTTAGCGGCTAACGGACAGCGCAGACCGTTGTGTTTTTTTTTTTTTTAAAAAACTCACCTAAGACGAAGAAGGGGAGCTCGGTGTTTTCCAGGTCGTCCACCACCACGACGTCCCCGGGAAAATCGTTTCTCACGGAGAACAGCAGCTTGGGCTCCGAGGCCGACGGACTGTGCATGATGCTCAGGTCGTTTTCCCTCAAAAACGGCAGCGCCGACACGGTGACGCTCTTCATCTTGCACTCGGTGTCCTGGCTCTGGTCCTCGTCGCCGTTCAGACCGCGGACGTTAGCCGTTAAGACGGCCAGAAGGACCCACGCGAGCCCCGGCAGCAGCAGCAGCAGCGGCGGCAGCGGTCTCGGCCCCATGTTGATGCTCGCCATCTCTCCGTCGCTCCGTTTCCTCTCGCCTCCTCTGCCGTTTCTCTGTCAGCCTGCTTCAGTCTCTCAGCCCGGCGGAGGAGAGAGCAGCAGCAGAGTGTGTGAGAGCGGTGTGATACACCGTCGGGCTCTCACAGTGTCGGAAACAAACGCCCCCTGTTTCTCACATACCATCAAACACTGGATATTTGTACATACAGCACGGAGCTCTGAATGTATGGCTGCTGAGTGTTGTAATGCCACTGACCCCTTTACTGTAATTGATTGATAAACTGTCCAAATGGCTCTGTAATGGCATAGATTACCAACAGGACGTGCACCCAGAATGCCCTGGGGCTCCCATCAACAAAAGCATCATCATTTGTAATTTAATTGTACATTTGCCCCCTCATGAAAATTTGCATATCATCTAACACCACTGAGCATCTTTAGTAGTTTCCCTGACCTCTGTGATGAGGTAGACACTGCTAGATGCATGCATAATTGTCTAACTGATGGTCTGGATGCACAAGTTGAATTCAAACACTCACCACCAGCGTCTGTGTTGCCAACATCGCGGATATAAAAGGGCAAAAGATGCTGTTTGGAAGTGGGAAACTTTAAAGTGGATGTTGTTGGCAAGAGGCCAGGCAAAATAGTTTAGAGTTTATCCGCTCAGATGGGTTGAGCAAGACAACAGAACGCTTTCAAACAACACTATAACAAACAAAACATGAATCTGATGATGCACACTGTCAC